CAGACCAACAGCCAGCGAAGCTGCTATAACAGGGTGAGTTATGTGGGTCCTGCACCCAGCCTCAGTTAGCAATCCCTGTAGCCAGCCTCAGTAGTCAACGGGATGCCTTTCTTGCCTCAGGTAGGCAAATACAGTTTCAAGAATGAAGCCATGGAGCTCTGTGGGATTTGATCTCCTTCAAGGACACTGTAATCCCTTTACTGTAATCCCTTTTCTCTAAGCTCCATTTTAGCTTTTAAAGACTGCCCTTTCTCCCTTGCTGTCCCAGTTGTTTGGACCCAGGTTACTTTTAATTTATTGTTCATTTCACCAACAAGGCACCAATTCAGGGGTTCCATGAAAAAGTTTTTCTCAAAATCTCTTTACTCCAAAGATCAAGGAATCTCTCCCAGTGTCTTCTTTTACATCAAACAATACACATCTTACAGCAATTCCAGCAGGAAAAAAAAAACCCTTCAGACATTAAGCCAAGTTGTAAGGGCTGAAACTCCAGTGTTTCATGTCTGGACATCAGCAGCTCAATTACTCTCCAGATCTTTCTCTCACCTTATCTAAACCAGGGCTGTGCATCTTCTGAGCATCCCCTGCAGGAGGGAATGCCCACCCTTGGAACCCCTCCCACGTCCTGAGGGGGGAAAAAACACACACAAAGCTTCAGGGACACAATTTGTTACTGGAATGCTATTTCTCACCTAGCCTGTTTAAGGATAGAAAAGGGACGTTTATGGAAACGGGAAGCAAATGGACAGGCAGTGAAACAGGCCCTATAGCAGCTATGGCGAACCTATGGCACACGTGCCATAGCTGGCATGCAGAGCCCTTTCTGCGGGCACGCGAGCCATAAGTTGGCAAATCGCTACTTCCCTCCGCAGCCAAACCTGCAGAGGTGGCTGCAGCCGTGGTGCTGGTGCTTTGACAGACGGCAAGCTGAGATCCGGAGCTGGAATGGAGTCTCAAGGCACCTCTGTACTTGGGATTCCCCCTTCCACTGCCACTTCTGGTTCTGCCGCCGCTGCAGCCCGCCACCTGCTTTTTTGGGGGGATTTTTTTTTCAGTTTCAGCATTTGGGACCAAAAAGGTTCACCGCCACTGGCCTAGAGAGTTTATGCCTTTTCCTGCCCTGGAACAGTATTGTGGGCATTTGGTGTTCTCTTGTGTGGCAAAGAAGTCTAGAGTAGGAGTGTCCCAGCGTTGGCAGAGTTGGGAGAAATCTGTGTCATCCATTTGTGGGTTCGAGTAGTGACGCCACTGAGGTAATCCGCTATGATGATGTCCTGAGTGGCAACGTGGACTGCAACAGGAAAGATGTGGTGGGTGTAACACCACTCCCAGAGGTGGACTGCTAGGTACAGGAGAGAAAGGGAGTGCCTCCTTGTTTGTTTATATAGTATAGAGCTGTCGTATTGTCTGTAGACAGCTGTACGGCTTGTCCTGCAATGAGTGGCAAGAAGACGTGAAAAGCCCTAATGATCGCGAAAAGTTCGAGGTGGTTGATGTGTAATAATTGTTCTTGTTTTGCCATTGATCCTGTGATGTCGACAGTGCGCTCCCCATCCCGACGGGCTGATGTCGGTAGTGACCTATATAGTGAGTTGTAGAGGCAGGAAGGGTCTGCCAATGAGCAAATGAAGAAGAAACATCCAACAAGTGAGTTGGCAGGCGATCTCGGGTGTTACTATGAGATGGATGGACAGATGGTCTGTCGAGAGATTGAATAGTGAGAGGTACCATGATTGAAGGGACCTCATTTTGCTAAATAACAGCGGTTGTGGAAGCCATAAGCCTGAGGAGGTGCTGTGCTTGATGTGCCAATACAGAGGCCAGAGGTTGAAATGGTTGGATTGCCCATTTCACTTCCACTAGGTAAGTTGGTGAGCTAATTCTGGAGAAACCGTCAACAGTTTGGAAGGGGGGGCAATCATAGGGTTGAATCTCTAAGGTACCAGGCTTGGAGGATCTCATTTTGAGTCTGGCATGTTGGATGGCTGATGTGGTTGAGGCCATAAGGCCAAGCAAATGTTGAGCCTGATGTGCTGAGACCGATGCAAGTGGGCAAAAGGGCTTTATTGCAGATTTCAATGTGACTATCCTCTCATGAGGAAGAAAGGCCCTGGTTATAGATGATTAGAGGTGAGCCCCGATATAATCCGCGATTTGAGAGGGTTCCAGTTGAGATTTGGTGAAGTTGACCTTGAGCCTGAGGTCTGCTAGCATGGAAAAAGTGAAATAAGTGTCTCTTTGTGTGTTTTGATAAGAGTTCTGTATGATTAGCCAATCGTCTATGTAAGGAAAAACGGTTATGCTGTGTAAGTGGAGATGTGCTGCAACTGGTGCGAGGCATTTTGTGAAAGTCAGTGGAGTAGTGGAGAGTCTGAAGGGAAGGGAACAGAACTGGTAAGCAGTGCCCTAGAAGCGGAAACGGAGGTATCTGTGATGACGTGGATGGATGGAAATGTGAAAATATACATCCTGAAGGTCTATTACCACAAACCAGTCTCCCTGGTAGAGGAGAGGGATGATGGTATCGAGAGTGACCATCCTGAAGCGTTTGGGCTGGGTGTATGTGTTGAAATGACTGAGATTGAGGATGGGATGGCCTCCATCTCGCTTTGGAACTGTGAAGTACCAGTAATAGAAACCTGTGTGGAGATCCTGGTTGGGAACTCTGAGGATAGCTTGCTTCTGGAGGATGAGCGTGATTTCATCTAGTTTGTCTAGTTTCCTACCCTCTCTATTTGTTGGGGCTACTGATGATTTATTGCAAGCCTGGGATTGATTCGATTCCACAATGATTGAATTGGGTGCGGGATGCTTCGCAACAAACGATGCATCTGAACCATGAGTTTTATAATGGTTACCCATCTAGATATTTGAAGGGAGGACAGTGGCTTATCCCAAGATTCTTTAACTAAATCAAGCATGGCTGGTATGAAGGTCAGGCTGAGAGGTGGGGTTTTATCTTGATTGATGTAATCAAACACCAGATCTTGTTTTGGAGGTGGAGGCTGCTTGAGCTTGAGGGATTTTTCCATATGAAGCAAAAGGAGGGTGATTATCTGCCACATTGGAATCAGGTATGGACAACTTAGAGGGAGACACTTGAGAGATTTCCGAAGGAGGCTTGTGAGTCTCCAAAGCTGCTGAATCAGAAGAGGGTGAGTGGTCTCGAAGACTAGATGAGGAGGTTCGGGTTGCAGTGGCAGGGAGTGCCAATAAACCCCTGTTAGTGTCAGCCAGAGGAGGGGGGAGTCCCTTGTAGGTGGTAGTGACTTGAAGGGATGAAGCATGGACCAGGGAGAGGGTAGCACTAGGTTGAGAAAGAGAAGCAGAAGCCAGTACGAAAGATGTGTGGGACCCCTTGGAAATAGATTGATGGGTGGAACGAGAGGAATTACGTTTAAGAGCTGACTTGGAATGGAGTGGAACTGCCAGTATGGGCTGAGGTTTGGGTATATGAACTTGATGCCGATGTCAAGGTGCTGATGGTGATGGCAACGGAGAGGGTTCAGGTGGATAGGCAAATGCATATCAAACTCTCTTTGGTTCATCATAATAGGATGAACTGGCATACGGGTCGATATCAGATCTGCGATGCCGGTACTGGTCATAATCACCATAATAAGGGTCTTCATAATCTGATGGAAGGTGATATCGAGAAGATTCTTGGATATAGTAGAACTCCCGGTGTGGGGGATCTTGGAAGTTAGGTGAAAGGTTGCATCTCTTTGATGCATGTTTGCGAGGAGGAGACCACTGAGAAGACTCTGAGTTGGAGAATTGAGCCATTGTTGCCCGCCTTGAAGATGCAGGGCTAGAATGCGCCGAGGGTGGGCTGGTCAAGGCGAAAGGGCTCACAACAGAAAGAGGAGCCTGATCAGGAGGTAGTGGGAGTGGATCTTCCACCTCGGACAAAGAATCGGGAACCTCTCTAGAAGACTCCTCCAGAATGGGCTAAGGAAGGTCTGGTGGAGGTTGACCTAGTCGAGTAGCCTTGGATGATTTTTTAGCCTTTTTTGATCCACCCTTGTCTTTCTTCTTTTTAGGTGACTGGCCATGAGATTGTGCCGAGGAGGACTTTGATGCCAATGGCAGCCTCGACTTCGAAGAAGATTTAGGTTGCACCTTTGGGTTGGGAGATGGCATGGTCGGGCTCGACACAGAATGAGGCAATTCCTGTCTAGGGACAGGAGTCGAGGTAGGCTGCATGGAAGTGGTGGGTTGTTTAAGGCTTTCCAAAAGAAAGGAGTGGAGACGCTGAAGCCTGAGTTTGAGGGCTGGTTTAGTCAGTCTCTTGCATTCTGGGCAAGATTGAGTTCGGTGTTGTTCCCCCAAACAAAAAAGGCAGTGGTCGTGGCCATCTGAAAGCGGGATCTTATTCACGCACAAAACACACCGCTTAAACAGACCGGAGGGGCATAAAAAAGGGTAGGAAAAAGGCAGTGGTCGTGGCCATCTGAAAGCGGGATCTTATTCACGCACAAAACACACCGCTTAAACAGACCGGAGGGGCATAAAAAAGGGTAGGAAAGGAGGGGCGAAGGGGGGAAATGAAAGTTTAAAGGAGCGACGGGAAGATAGGAATGAAAGAGCACTCATGGGGAAATGTCCAAGAATAGAATGAATAAGCCTATAAAGGTACAAGGTGAAAATACTGATTATGATCAAAGTTGCTCTAGTCATCGAGATAGGTCTGACCTAAGTGGCAGCTAAAAGCAACTGAGGGGACTTCAGGCTGGTGGAGCATGTGCTCCACGATGGAACGTCCCACTAATCACATGTCTTTAAGCTCTAGAAAGTTGTGAGAGGTCCTGCCCAGGGGCAGATTAAACCCATTTTTGTGCATTCACAGAGACCATGAAGAAGAACGCATCATAATTGCTGTGGGCATGATATAAACCTATGCAAGACTATTCAAAGAGTATATTGCCGTTTTGGGCTCGGGTGCAGCGGGCGGTGATAAAGCCTTCATCAAGACAGAAAAACAGTTTTAGCCAGTAGAGAGTTCTACCATCCACCCAATTAAGGTACAATAGCACATAATGTCAAAATTTATTCCAGACTTTCTGAGGGTGTCTAATGAAAGAAAGCTGTTGGGTTTTTAATATTATTTAAAATAATATTAAATAAATGACAAATAAATTTCTTATGTCTTATGTCTTATGTCTTATGTCTTATTTCCAGCTTGTTACTTTCCAAAACAAATTGTTAGAAAGAGGAAACATCCAGGATGTTTCCAAATTAAGCTTTTTTATTGTGTAATCAACCCTGCCTCAAATGTAAAATAGAAATTAATGAGGTGCAACTATATTTGGTTCTGGCGATCAGTCCATTTGGAGAGTGGGGTAGATGAGTAGGAAAGAGTCTAAAGTGCTCCTGGTTAGGCTTCTGGCTTTCTACAGGATTCTGGAATTTGTTTCATAAATGTAGATACTGGGCTTTCCTTTAATGATCTGTATAATAACAAATTGAGCTGTTTAGCAGTAGATCCCTACGTTGGAGTAAGTTAATTTTATGCCACCAGAAACTAGAAATTTGTTCTTTGAGCATTTGTTTCCTCCAGCTATTAGATGTGTTGTTGTTGTCATGGACCATCAAGTCACCGCCAACTTATGGCAACCCTATACAGTGGGGTCTCTACTTAAGAACGTCCCTACTTAAGAACATAGTGACTGAGGATACAATAATGTAAAGCTACCCAGTTTAGAATCTAATGATTTCTTCTTTTAAAAAAAACTTAATCCATAAACTACAATTCTCCCTAGTGATGATCATATAAAGACTGCTCTATTTTCTCCTGAGTTTATATGCTCAGAGAAGATGGAAGTAATTCTTAATGTATTGTAGAGATTTTCTCTTCTAAAGATGGTGAATCAAACTTTCTTACCTTTTCTGCTTCTAGCAAGTCTGTAAGTTACTCAGCACTAACTCATCACCTGATAACCCAACATGATCACACAGTCTAAGCCCTGTTTGCGTATCTATAGAATTTTCCTCCTCCATTACATCACAAGGTTTTATGCAGACTACATGGCTCTATGACTGAGCTCCCCCTCCACTACTTTTGGAACATCTAGCTTGATGGAGAAATATTCTGATCTCAAAAGCTGACACATTAATTTGTACCTTTTTGGTTGGTGCAGTAGAGGTATTTTTGTACTGTGGATCTGTGTTGTTACCAAAACAGTTTTTTTTAAAATGTGGTCCAATTTAGGTCCCAGTGCCACCTAAAAGCTCCACATCTGTCTTTAAATACAAACTGGTTCAGAAATGTTGAGTCTATTTAGAAATCATCTGCTACATATAAGAATCTTGCCTGTTCCTGACTAAAAATCTAATTTGGCATTTTATAACCATCAGAAAAAACAGCTTCTTACTCAAGGAATGGTGTAAATAAAGATTGGTGACGATGCCACCTAGCAGCACCCTTGTTGAAAAGCATTATCAGGCAAATTCAAAAGAAAGAAACAAACAAAAAAGACAAAAATCACGTAGCACCTTAAAGGCTATTATATTTTAATGTGAGCTTTCATAGACACGTCCACTTCATCATTACCCCCTTGCCCCGGAATAAAGGCGTGAGACAATTGTTATGGATCAAACATGGGCCACACTTTATTAAATATTTATTAAAGCCCTCAATAAATTGGGTGTTCTGCGGTAGTGCGGAATCAGGTTCTGCATAGGAGTCTCAATGGATCCCCACCAAATAATGGGTGAGTCCCGAGCCCCAAGTACTCGTGGTCATGAAGACAGCGAGAACCCTGCTGGTCCAAATTTGACCCCCTCTGGACTTCAAGCTCCCTCTTCATTGTTGACTGTTGGTCCAGGAGTGGCCCAAGAGCATCTCCCCCCCACACACTGTAGTCACACGATCCGCAGCACTGGGAGATCAGATGAGCTATACTTTACAGTACCTCTGTTTGTGATAGGACTTACCGAAACCTGTTCTATCCACACTACCTGCCTGTGTGAGCAATATAACCACCTCTCAGCATGCCAACGCTCCTTGACTAGTGTAGGATAGGCAAAAAATCTTCGCATCTAAAGGCCAATCAGGAAGCAGGTCAAAAATTCCTATCTGGAGCCAAAAGGCAACCCAGTAAGAACTCACACTAGTATACAGGGTGGTCGGGTGGGCTGCTAGCAAAGAAGAAGCCGATAGAAGATGGGGACTCTTCTTGAATACATTACTCCTTCCCTCTTCCTTCTCGGTCAGTCATGTGAGACAACTACATCTCGCAGTGTCCCGGGAAGGGGGATAATGGTGGCCCGTGCCAGTAAAGAAATCTTGCCAGCGGGCTGAGCAGATGCGTGGAGGCAGAATGAAATGTTGAATGAAGTTTCAGTTACTTACTAAAAAATCATTGGCTAAAACAGCATAAGCCAAATAACTGCTTGGAAATGTAACATGCATTCAATAGCCAATGAATATTTAGTATGTAACTGAGACTTCATTCAACGTTTCATTCTGTTTCCGTATGTCTGACAAAATGGACATGTCCATGAAAGCTCACATTAAAATATAATAGTCTTTAAGATGCCACATGTTTTAGTCTTTTTTTGTTTTGCTTTATTTTATTTCTTTGGAATTTGCCTGATATGCTTACACAGACTAACGTGGCTACCTCTTCCAAAACCACATGTGGAAAAGACAAGTGCTGAACCCTTGAACTTTTTATGCTTCTATAATGGAGATGGGTGGGAATTACTATGTCAATTCATAAAAATTCATTTTTGCCACTGCAGCAAGCTCTAACAATTCTTTCCTTGCAAAACAATTTGCTTATACTGGTTAGAAATCAGCCATGCAGTCATACTAAGAGCGCCCATTAAGGCTTAATATTCTCTGTTCTTTTAGAACTTCCAGCACTTTCAGAAAAGTGGGATGTGTTTAACAAGTGTTTCATGCTAATTATTGATCCAGTTATAAAGGTAAAGGTTCCCCTTGACAATTTTTGTCCAGTCGTGTCCGACTCTAGGGGGTGGCACTCATCCCGCTCTTCAAGCCATAGAGCCAGCGTTTGTCCGAAGACAATCTTTCCGTGGTCACATGGCCAGTGTGATTTAGACACGGAACGCTGTTTACCTTCCCACCGAGATGGTACCTATTTATCTACTCGCATTTGCATGCTTTCGAACCGCTAGGTTGGCGGGAGCTGGGACAAGCAACGGGAGCTCACTCCGTCGCGTGGATTCGATCTTACGACTGCTTGGTCTTCTGACCCTGCAGCACAGGCTTCTGCGGTTTAGCCCACAGCGCCACCACGTCCCTCATATTGATCCAGTTAATTAAGGCCAAGTTCCTATGCGCAATTTCCTTAAGGTATTGAAACAAGTGTGGTTTACTTCCTAGTAAAATTGAAAAGAACTTGCATAATAGTTTAGTCCCATTTTCCTCACTCTGGTGAATCACACAGGTTTTCTCAAGCTAAATACAAGTGTTCTCTAGCTAATACCTTCTTTCTAATTCTTGTTCTGTAAGTCTGATCCCCAAACTCCAATTTTCTTAATATTGAGATAGAAGGATGTCTCAGCCTTAGATAAATTACTGGACAAGGGAAGAGCTTATTTGCATGATTTATAACAGGAAGTGTTTTTAAAGACTGATGTAAATATGCATAAGAGATATTTCATACATTTTATCAGGGATGGAAAACTTATGGTGTTCCACATGTTATTGGATTGCAACTCCCATAAGCCACTACAGCCAAAAGTGAGGGATGTTGGTAGCTGTGATCCAACATGTAGAGAGCAGCAAACAACCCTACTCCTGTTTTACACCATGGTGAAGTAATGCAGAAATATGGTATTGCTGTGGGCAGTCTAATGTGTACCTTAATTATGTGTTTGCCTTCAAACCATTTGTCAAATTCATGTTTGAATACACAAATACATTTTTATTCTACACTGAAATGATATACTATATTGTACAAATCAGCCCTGACTAGCCCACCATGAACTAAATCTACAGAGAAGAAACTTGCATATTAGTGTTGACTGAGATCCAGTACTTTCCACTGAAAACAAATAATGGGCTTGCACCATGACAAACAGCACAGATAAGAGATTACATATGAAGGAGGCTTGAGAATACAACCATATACAGTATACTCATGATATCACTGAAGAAGACGAATTAATTACAATGGTGCCTCGCTTAGCGATCGCTCCGTTGAGCGATGAAATCACTTAGCGATGGGGTTTTGGCCATTGCCAGAGCGATCACTTAGCGATGGCCCCTATGGGGAAAAATCGCTTTGCGTTGATCGTGGGGAAGCGATCATGGCAAAGCGACCCTTTTGCACAGCTGAAATGGCTGCCCACTGTTTTGTCTCGCTTTAGAGGCACCGAAAATGGCCACCCCTATGGAGGATCTTTGCATAAGGTCAGTTTTTAAGCCCATAGGAACGCATTAAACACGTTTTAATGCATTTCTATGGGCTTTTTAAAATCGCTTAGCAACGTTTTTCCAGGAACGGATTAACGTTGCTAAGTGAGGCACCACTTCAAGCTCTATTCTCACAGAGTTTTTGAAAGAACGAACAGCAAAAACACCCACTTTTTTCACCTGCTTTTAAGCTATATTCATACTATGTCTCAAGATATACACACGGAAAACATGGTGGAGACTTCTCAAAACTGCTAATGAAAGAGTATTATGTAATTAGTATGTGTAGTCTGATCAGTCAGATTCTGACTTGTGGCTTTTGCCTTAGAAAATGTTCAGGATGGGAAAACATCACATAAACATTCTCACTATTTAAATCATTGCAAGTCAACTAAATATGGGGCAGCCTTGCCTAGTTTAACTGAAATGCAGAAGCATCTAATAAAAAGTTTTAGTATTTTAGTTGCTAACATTTCCCTAGTGATCGATATTAATATTGACAGAAAGTCTATCACTTAAAACAAAACCAACACTTTGAATTGGATCTGAAAATAGGTTGACAGCCAGTAGAGCCATTGTAACAGGAAAGTTATATACTCCCTGTAACTGGTCCTAGGCATCAGTCTGGCTGCAGCATTTTGAACACTCTTCAAAGACTATGCCAAGTAGAACATGCAAGCAGGAGGTCAACTTAGGTGTTGCCCCAGCCAGATCAGACATCTCCAGGGATAGGAGCAACTGATGTACCACCTTCAGCTGTGCAAAAGAGCTCCTGGGCATTGCCGAAAGCTAAGCATCCAGACTCGAGCATAAACTCAAACTCTACTAAGAATTTCCTTCCTATCTAATATTCAGTAAATAAAGTTATGACCCACAGAGTTCTATATAACTGGGTCCAGGATATGTGAAGGAGCATTTATCCTCATATGAACGTCTAAGATCTCTCAGGCAGGCCCTTCTCTGTTCCAAAACCCGCACAAATGTGTTGCCAAGCAGCAACAGCTGCACTAGCCCTACTCCTCTACCACAATGAGCATCACAAGACACTGTATCATTGTAGCTTCACACTGTGTTCTGCATATGTGTATAGACATCAAAATCCTAAAAAGTATGACACATGTAGCATCAGTAGAGAAAAGTGCAAGTGTCAAAACAAGCCCTGTTCTGTTATTACAGTAGGTATACTTACCAAAGTAGAGAGAAACACTAGCCCCATCACTTGTTTCCAGTTTTGGTGCTCTCCGGCATACAGAGTACAACATGATTATAGAGGATCTCCAAGCCTGTCTTCCAGGATTCTGAGTCAAATAGGAAACCTCCATGGATTAGAACATGCTCTCCTCTTCAGAATCCTTGCCTTTTACATATAATAGGCAAGGAAAAGCACTGGAAACAGAGGGTGACGGGGCTAGTGTGGTCTCCTTGACCCATGATAATGGTACTTCCTTTAATCATGACTGAACAGGGCTACAGAACTGGCGGCTTCATAATGTTGCTATCCTCACTTGTGTATGTTTAGAAAGAACAGAGATGATTTTCTCTGTGTGTGCACACACGCTCCTTTGAACTGATACACTACATACGCATTTTGTATTCTGTTCCTATAAATGCATACTAAACCAATCCCTCTATCCACAGGATTCCAACATATGAAGAAAGACACTTCTCTTTCAGAGAAAGGTGTTTAAAGTCATTTATGTGACTTTTCATGCACATCTGTTTCTAATTTAAAATAATATATGGTCTACTACTGAGAATGGTTTATTTTGCTCCTTGCAAGCTCTTTATAATTATATGTCATAAAAGGCATTAAAAGAAAATGGCATTCTCACTCTTCGATCCATGTAGACCCCCATTTTCTCAGAATGGCAGCTGGGAAATGTTTTTGACTGGATGATTATTAAAAAGATTAAATGTAGAAAAGCATTTCAATGTGGAATAACATTTAAGAGACATGTTTGACCTCTGCTCCTTGGTTGCTGCTTATTTAACTGGCTCATGTTGCAGTTTTAGTTTTGAGCAGGACATTCCATGAACTGTAAAGGCAGAAGTCTGCTTAATCAATGAAACACTGCATAGTATCTTCATTTTAGTACACAAAGCAATTATCTTTGTAATGCCATGTGCTCCATGTTACAGGAGCTGTAACATACAATTCTTAGGAACTCAAATTTATAATCACAATTTCACCTAGAAGACACCACAGACACAAACTGAGGAATCAAGTTTACTATCAAACTTACAAATTAGAGTAAGTTACCTCCAACCAGAGTGAATTAAAAATTTAGCATATTAGATATTAAGTTAAAGAACTACCAGTTTTCAGAACAATGTATTCTATATCATAATTAAATCAATAAATTGTTTCAAATGAATTAGCCTTTACAATCAACACGTTCAGAAGCATAACTGATGTTATTACAATTAATGCTATATTGTTCATTTTTATCAGTACCTACAATTTATTGCCAGTGAGATAACACATGTGCCCACATGTCAATTTAGAAAGAGGTAAATTTTATTAGTCAAGGCTAGGATCCAAATTACACAAACTGTGTTCAGCTATGGGAGATTTGGATTTTCTGTCATTACCAAGCTATCTTTGAAATCTGAGGGAATGTAAAAGAGATTTGGTGAATTGGGAGGCATATATATGTGCACTAAAAACAAAGAACAAATAAAAGATTTCACTAGATATGCCCAAGGTTGTGAGACTGCGGCCTAAGTTAGCTTTCTGGATCTCATGAAAAGTTGGAAAAAATAGAAAAAGAAAGAAGCAGCATTTTCTAAGCCTTTCATGAAACCAAGGAAGATTTTTGCCAAACAAGTAATATTATCTTTGCATACTTACTGCCTTTCCTATGTTAAAAATTTCATTAGAATGAGAGTAGACAGGTCTTATTCTAGTACTTTTAGAAACAATTTCAAATGGACTGAAATCACAGTTTCTAATATATTGCAATTGTGCATTCATACTGGTCTTAACCATTATAAACTGTCTTAGGTTATCCAACCATTAATATTTTATTGACTGATTTATGGAAACTAATTCCAAAATCTTCATTAAGCAGAGGCTTCAGGAAAGCTAGAGTTGATCACACAGTACCATGCTACTTCCAACATCTAGTTCCAGCCTAGTTTTTGAGAGAAACTCATTTTAAAGTCCTGACTGCATCTTAAAATCAGAGCAATTCAAAGTTTAGCTTTGCCAGGTTGGAGCTGTAGATTCTGGAGCTTCATTGCCATGCCCATGTTCCCAGCAATCTTCAATTTTCCTTGAAAGAAAGCCTAAAATTAAAAAAGAGAGAGAGAGAATTAACTACATTGTTTGGGTTAATGATTTTATATGAAATACATACAGTTTTGCCAGCCATCACAAGCAATTTCAACCTATCTTTAAGATACACACACAGTGAAAAAGAGCTGCTACAACACTGGCCACCTTTAAATAATTGAGCTCTTACCTCTCCGCCTCACAAATCTTACGTGATTATTGCTAAAAAGGAAGGTCTTTATTTGTTTCATCACAAACAATGTTACAATCATGCCAAATAATAAAAGACATTCCAAATGGGGAAAATTTCTATCTGCATTTAAATGATTGCTAGTTAACTATTTTGCCAAGTACTCTAGAAGTACAGTAATGACAACAAGGCTATGTTTCTCACCTATAGCAATTCTGAATTGAACAGCTCCTGGACAGTGTCCAGAACCAAGTCAGCTACCGTTCAGTCTCAAGACCATAGGAGGAAAATGCACACTGGCTGTTTTCATCAGTTCTCTGCTACAAAATAAGTGTACGCAACAACAACAAAACCCCAGAAAGACAGGATGACTTCCTTATGTTTTACTTACTGTTTGTGGGTTCATCTGGCCCGTCATCAGAGCCAGCAAATCAGAGTCAGCCATGGTAATCGTGCAGTCAGCTTTCTTATCTGTAAGCATCAGACAAAAAGATTAAGCTATCTATCTCTAGGTAGACGTAGACTTAAATATTGCACATTACCCTAGGGAAACAGAGTAAAAACACAGCACAGGCTCATCTAAAATTACAGGGAATATCGTTCATTACCAAAGAATCAGCAGCTAATCCAGAAGAACTACTGATGTAACCCACTTACATTTCTTGAACAGCTAAGAGTCTCTAGACATCTTAGAAATTAATATGTTGTATTTGTCATTAATTTGTGTGGCCTGAAGCCCACTGCAAGTGATGTGTGATATAGCCTGGGCTCAATATTGCCATGTTTCAAAAGTACTGTACTCAGATAAAAAAAGAGTAATCAGCCATTCCCATCTACTGTTGGCTCAACTATTTCAAGACAAATTATAAATGGTTGTGTGGAATATATTTGAAAGATCTGTAATGTCATTCTGTATTGAGAGAGCATGAGCTGATGGCCAACTGGCACTGATCCTTGCTCTGGATCATCCCTGTCAAGAACAGCATCTATTTTATTTATTTAATTTATTTATTTAATTAATTTATATGCCGCCCACACTACCCAAAGGTCTCTGGGCGGCTTACAACATTTAAAATATATCACAGTAATGGACAGAGAAGCCAATAATGTGGGGTGTAGTCTGAATGGGAAAAGAGAGAATAGCTTCTCTTCCACAGCAGCTTTCGCACAGACATTTGCTTGTAGGGATAAGTATTCCATTCTTCAAGCAATTATCCTTGTTTGTTCACTCACTGGAGAACATCCATAAGAAAAAGCTGAGTAAAAAGGGTATTGACTTTCAAATATCAATTAAAGAAATCTCTTTCTCTCACTCAGCCTCTGGCTCACACACACAGAGGGAGATCATTTTAAGGAAATTTTGCTCTCTCCAGAGAAGCAAATAGCCTGAGGCCAGCATGAGTCATCCTGTGCCTCACATGCGCTTGCTGACACTGCCAGTTCATAGCTACAGAAGCCAAACTAGAATAGTGAGCTGACATAAGGACAGCTGCCAACAGAGATCGTGCATTCATTTCATCTTAGGGCAATTTTTTGTAGGCTATTTACTTCTAGATGAAGAGCACAATCCTCTGCATATTTACTTAGAAGTAAGTCCCACTGATACTTACTTTGTAGTAAAATATATACAGGCTTACAGCTGTAACACTATTTAGAATAACACCTGACTCTTTCTAATGCAGTGCATAAACATTAAAGAAAGGCAGGCAGTTCTTTCAATAGATGCTAGCTTACTGATATTAATACCTATGGACTCAAGTGATCCATGTCCAAGGACAATTCATTAGTTTATCTTTCTCTGACATAAAAGCACCTTCCAAAGTCCAAAAAAAAATCCAATAAGCATTTCTCTTTATTATAGCAATATACTATTTTTTTTCAAAAATAATTGTGCACTATTAGGATTAGAGCCTCAGCTCCTTCCTCAAATTATGAGTTTGTGCAGCTGAGCTCTTAAGCAGGATCTCAGTAACACTGTTTCTTGAGGTCGGGGGAAGACATTTCTCATCCTAATTCAGCATATAAATTGGAATGGTCTGAAAGCAATGCTAAACCCCAGTTTTGCACAATAGCCAAGAGCTAGTTGGATCAAACTGCTCAAACAATGGACGACAGGACGAACAGCTTGACACTTTCACTGCTCCCTGTGCAAGAAAAATGCCACAGCATTTTTACAGTGGTGATCACCACTTGTCCAAGACCAAGAAAGGGCGATACTATAACATGATGGGGCTCTTTGCTCCATGGTTGTCAAGCTGGATCTTAGCATATGTGCTCAAGGTAGAATAAGCTTGAGGCAAGTTTCAGGCTTGCAAGATCCCTCCTTTTTTCTCCTTCCTTATAGTTGTGAAGACTTTGCTCATGCTCAGTAGTTTCATAGAATTCTGGCTCCTTGTTATGCACATATAAGAGATTATTCTTTAAAATTCCGATTATAACACAATGGATGAAGTCCTGTTCAACGCATGTAAAGTGTAATGCTATGCTTGGGTACCGGTAGTTTCAGTTTGCCCTTCCACACGCCAGATGGGAATAACAAGAACGCTGCTTGCACAAGGCAGCACTGGATCCCACCTTGCACACATTTGAAAAATGTCAAATCCCTTGTAGAATGGACCATGAATAACTGGTTCACACAAAGAAGTTGGGGATCTCTGGCTAGTTTTGCTTTGGTCTCACTCACTGCTGGCATGCTGCCCCGAGAAGGTTAGCAAGAAGAAACTGCTCTCCTCAGACTGAAAAAAATAATTTTGTTCTCCTCTGTGATAAATGAAGTACTGCAATCACAAAGGTTTGTTCCCTCTCACTACATACATGCTTAGGCTCCACAAGTGAAAATGCCCAGATTATAATTAGTGAAACAGATCCCCACCATATTGTGGACATTTTCCTTTCTTTTCATTTTCTTTAGCTTTTAGAAAGTTGAATGGTTTATCTTGCTTCAGAGACAGGTAGTGACTCTTTCCTATCTTGCTTATAGCAGTTGGATAAAGCTGAACATCAAAACATTCTTTACATTCCAAGGTTTAGGGACATCCAAGAGGCTTGGAGAACTGGAATAGCCGGTTATAAGAAAGGACTTCACCGGGAACATATGTTCAGGAAAATATGTTCTTTTTCATGAGAATGTTTGATAATGAGAAAAGAGCAGAACTGACCTGAGTTAAAATCTACACAGCCTTTACCATTTTTCACATCAACTATCCAGGTTGCTTCTTTGCCTCCAGGACCATCTTTTACTTTGAAGGCAAAAATTCCACCAATTTTCTTGACATACTGCTCTCCTTCCTGGAATAATTAAAACAATTACGAATCATGTAAACAGCAGGATTTCAATTTATTTATGAACCAATGTTTTCAGAGGTGGTTAAAACATTTGAATGCATGAAGACATAAGTCACTATCCTGAGTGCTCTCTGGCGGCTTGCACGCCTCCAGCCGTATGTGCTGTTTCTGATGGTCAGTAAGTACAAAACTTGAGAAAGTAAATATAGATACACAGCCTAAAGGGAGAAAATTACTCCAAAAATTGCAGGCTTTCCCAGTATTTGAGCTGCAAGCATAGGAAAATCCATATAATCTTTTCCCTCTCATTACTTGTATCAGATTGCAGGCATACCCCAGAGAAAATTGGAAATGAATGAGGGAGATACTAACATACACCAGCAACTTGAACTACTGTTTCAAGCCATTTTTTCTATGGAAATTAAATTGGCACTTTAAAATGCTGAATGTTGTTTTAGAAAATAAGACATTTTCAACCATAGGAGAAATTTACTCTGTTGCTGCAAGATACACAGCATCACTATTGCTTATTTTGTTCTGTCAACTGTAAAGCAAAAAATAACTTGGGTTTCAATGGGAAGAGTGCATAAACATGGTGTGGCGTTCACCCTCCTACCACCAATTTACATCACTGCTAATCAGGAACTTATTTTAGAAACCCAGTTAAGTGTTAAGAATTCTAAGAAAGTATTCATGACACAAAGGGACTACGGCCAACGAGGAGCTGAAGATAGAAATGAAAATATCTGCTATCCATCAAAATAGAAGTCTAGTTCATGTCAGGCAAAGTGCCTGATGCAAACTTTAATTATTTGTTTTCTGAGGGCAGTGCTGTAGTATTAATAGCCACCATGACATGGATGAAAATTTATTTCAGTCAAGTTTATTTTTTAGAAGACATTACATATTCTCAAGCAAGCAGTCTCACCTGTGATAACATCCATCTTACCTACCTCTCCATCCACTCTATCACCCCAAAGTATCCTGACAACAAATTTTGTCTCCAAATGCAAAGTGACAGTTCCATTGTACATGGGTACAAAATGTGCTATATTTCCCATGTCACCTCCCTTTCCAAGATCTAAAACAGCCCTGTGGTAGTACAGAATTGGGTCAGCTACAGATACTTCTCCCCACAGGGCCTATGGAAGATGTAATTAGGGGACAAATGCTGGGGGGGGCAAACTGTTTTCAATAATTTTTGAGTACTTCAGGAGGGCTGGGGAGGTACAGTATACTAGACCCCCTCCCAAGAAAGTCATGTGGCCTGTGGGTTGCACTTCACACAGTCTAAAATATTTCTCACTGTGTTCATCACATCTGACATGAATATCCATACAGTGAGAATGCATCCATAATTGAAGGTTCTCAGAGTGAGGTGAAAGAGATTGCCTCTAAAAACAAACTAATACTGAAACATGTAGAAAATTTCATAGCACAAATTTATTATATATTAAAGAAAATAAACAGGCAATAAAACAGCATAATTCTGTGATGGGAAAACTTCAGTTTTCATTATTTCCAATTATTGGCATCCCGAGGTAGAAAAACATCTATTGTTCTTTGTACCACAGCTTAAGCATTCTTCCTATTACAAAGTTTGTTGTATTTCAGAAGTTTATTCCAACCACTGTTTTTGAAAACTGCAAATATAATCATGCTGCTCTCTTGGGAGCATATTGCTCCTGGTTCTGACCCTTCTTTTGAGGAGGAGAAAGAGGAAAGGGATCAGTAGAAAGAATATATCTATCAATTTATTTGGAATAATAAGAACAAATAAGCTGGCTTCAAGGAAACTGTCTGCATACTTATCACTATTCCTATGCTAAAACATGACTTAAAGGTTTCCCTTGACATTTAGTCCAGTCGTGTCTGACTCTAGAGCGTGTGGTGCTGCTCATCCCTGTCTCCAAGCCATAGAGCCAGTGTTTCTGTGGTCACGTGGCCAGCGTGACTATACACAGAACGCTGTTACCTTCCCACCGTGGTGGTACCTATTTGTCTAGTAGTATTTACATGCTTTCGAACTGCTAGGTTGGCAGGAGCTGGGAGAAGTGACTGGAGATCACTCCATCACGTGGATTCGATCTTACGACTGCTGGTCTTCTGACCTTGCAGCACAGAGGCTTTAGGAGTCTGAAAATCAATCCATAAACAAGATTTATTATGATGAAATACCTCCTGAAGTTTCTTTTCAATTTCTTTGAAGACGAGGTCTGCTTTAAATCCTTCCACAGCTGCCTTAGTGGGAACAGCTTGGATTTGCCGATTTCTGAAATTGGAGAAAACCATCTGGGTCAGTAAGGATAGCGTCACATAGTAAGCAAGCTATTTTCCATATTTATGCATGCATCTATGTCTGTGCATGTATGCATACATAAATATTAGGATTCATATTTTTCAAGTATCTGCAACTGAAGAACCAGAGAACTCTCCAGGATGACGTAGACAGAGAAAATAAACGGCCAAAAAAGGATAACAAGTGAAATCATGGCTCCTGTTACAATTTTTCGGAGACAGCTACAAGTAAGAGCTGCGTCAAGACTCCACCAAGGAATCTGGCATAGTTCTGTACTTCTGCTTTCTTCCAAGGTGGTAACGTAAAAGGGACAGAGCCCCAATCCTCTCTGTGATGCAGCAGGATGAAGACCTTTCTTCACTGCTGCTAGGGAGACTGAGGTGAAATGTGTTTTACATGTTTGTCTTGTACAAGCAAAACAATATTGTTTTCATGAGAAGAAAATACAGCAAACATTTGTTCCAGTGAGCCACACAAATTATGAATGAACTAAATCCTGCACTTCATACCTACCTGCATAAACAGCTTTAAAAGCAATAACCAGTGATCAAAGAATGATTTCTAAAACAGAAATTATGAAACACAGCTACCTTTACCCCAGTTACTCAATATCCACTCCCAACACTTTAGTTGCATAACCAAACTGAATGCTAAGGTGTTAACTTTGTAAGAAACAGAGCTGCCGGGGGGGGGGGCAGAAAATGAACTGATTTCTGTACTCTGAAAACAGGGTTGAAGTCAGGTATCTTCCTTCATATTCCTGCTCAGCCAAGCAATTTACTTTGGACAAGACACCATCTTTGAACTTGTTCTTCTTTATAGGTTTGCTATAAGGATCAAACAGAAAAATGATATAACACAACCCACTCTAAGCTCTTGGTAAGAAAGAACTAATTATATGTTTCAAAGCTTCACCTTTCTAGCTTCATATATATCAAGTACAATTTTGTGAGAGAGAAAAAGACATACTTTAGCTGTTGTACTTCTCATGGCAGTTTAACTTCAAAACATAACTTATACAATTAGGACTGTCAAGAGAGCCAGATTTCAGCAGCTTTCGTAATGAAGTAATGCTTTCCCCACATCTTTCAAGTTACTGTTACGGTATTATACCACCAATGATTGTTCACATCTCTCCTCATAATCTAGCCCTATCTTCACCCAGTGTCTTTTAAAAAAAATCTGCTGCTTCTGCTCTCTAACGATGCAGGCTTTAAGGCATCAAAGAATGGTGTTTATACTGTAGGCCAGTTCTTCTCTGGGAGTGTTAAGCTCTTTAGCTGCCAAAGCTGTATTGCAACACACTTGTATTACAACATTCATTCCATAAAAACAAGGACATTGGAGATTCAATTAAAAAGTGATGAAACCAAAGCTATTTTACTTTGGACACATAATGAGGAGAAAAGACTCACTGGAAAAGACTAATACTGGCGAAAGCGGAAGGTAGTAGGAAAAGAGAAAGACAAAATATGAGATGGACTGGATCTATAAAAGAAGCCATGGCTTTTAGTGCACAAGATATGAGCAGAGTTAATAATGTTGGGGTCTTCTAGAAGTCATTGATTCATGGAGTCACTGTAAATTGAAGGTGATTTGATGCCACATAACATCAATAGTGAAGTAATAGCACGGCATCTGTAGCAGGCTGAAGACAGCAAACCTTCCTGCTTTAGACTGCAAAACAGACAAATGTTTCTGCATAACAAAAACTTGTAGACCCAGCACTGTGAGTTCTGTCTGATACTGTGAGCTGAAAGTGAAAGATATGCAGATGCAAATGGAGACGTGCATTCACATGTGCTATCTGAAACATAGATCTAGTGCAAGTATGCACAATTGGGAGAGAAGTTTCTAAACTGGGGCACCATAGCCAGTTTAAAATGGGTAATTACCACCACACACAAAGGTTTCCCAACCTTTACACAGGCAAAGCTAAATTGTGCCAGCCATGTCATATCTTTCATCAATTTGATATTTATCTGAGTTCTTCATTCTCTTCTATGTGAAGAGAATGTGTTTCTGTGTCAAAGTTTCTGTGTTAAAGTTTCTTCCTCCTCTGAAACTCCTTATCAACTAAAAAACCTTTTCAAAATCCCCCCTTTAAAAAAAATCTCCAAAATTCAGAAGCTGGATAAAGAACCCAACCTGGTATTTCAAAACTTGGCACAGGTCACATACCCATCATTATCAAGAAAGCATACTAAATACTAAAATTTTTTAATTTATTTTAGCAAACAAAATATTGTTGAATAAAATGTGAAAAAATATTACAAACAGGGTTGTTTGAAATGGGCATTTCTAAACAGACTGAAGGGACATCAAATGTAAGAAATTTACTCAGCAATTCATAAATTTAAAATATTGTTTTGATACATTTCACATTCCACATGTGCTTTGGGAATCCAGTTTTTAATATGTTATTTTGTCAGCAGTGACATAAATATAAAACTTACTGGCTATAAACTATGAGAAATCTAAATGTAAATTTCCTTGCTATGCTTGAAAACTGTTGTGATTTTAAAAAAATACATAGCTGAAACCCCTTTTTTAAAAAAATAAATGGCAATTTCTACTCTACTTACCAACTTTTCTTAATTATAGCAGTTATGCTAATTCAGCACATTCTCTTAAATGTTGTTTACTTTAAGCTCTTTTTTTAAAGATAGGAACATGGAACCAGACTTTGGAAAACACAATTAAGACCAAGCCTCATGACCAAAACCACAAGGAAAGTTTCCAATTGCCGAAGAACTCAATGTAGTTGATCTTTTAAAAAAAAGTGCTGAGCAAGAATGTGGCATTCAGGACTAATATTCTTCCTGCTACAAAGAAACCAAAGGATTCCCAACTGCCTACTTCAATTTAACAGGAATTAAGGCAGGACACAGTGGCAGCAAGCATCTATTCAAGACTAATCAGAATGTATGGCATTCCTCTTGTTATTCTAAACAAAGACTAGCTGCTTCAAATTACAACACTGGCATACACAACGTCCGACGGCAGACAGTGGGGAAGCGCGCTGTCTGTACAAAAAAGATCACTCCATACTCACCGTGCCGTTTCAGGAAAGCCCATTTTGTAGAGGGAGATTACTACAGCACCACCAAGGCCCAAGTTATGCTGCAAGGCAACCTTTGCACCAGGAACCTGTCTCTTTCCAGCTTCTCCTCTTAGCTGCCAGCAGAGCTCGGCACACTGAGCCAGACCTAAAGCATCACACACAGAGAACATGGATGAGGCGGTCTTTCAAGTGCATCATGTTGGGTATTATGCCCAGACTTGACAGAGAAGAGAAACGATGCCACAGAAGCTGTATTTGAGCAGGAAGACGAATCCTCCTTTTGGTTAAAAGATAAAGCTACTGCCAATATGGCTTAAAAGGGGGGGGGGATATGTGAAACCTCAGTGCATACTGAGTGAACAGCTCGCAACACGTGTTTTTCTAGATTTCAGAAGAGATGGCATTAATTCTATCCTTTCAGTATTTTAGGGAGCTGAGGCAATTCAATAGTCCAAACCTATGCATGTTTATACAGAACTAAGCCCACTGTATTCAAAAGTATGCCCAGGATTGCAGCCTTAGGCAAAGAAAAAGTTCTAACCAAGAACAGCGCGCTGTCTGTACAAAACAGCACATAAAGAGTGGGTGACCCAATGTAAAACCAAACGCACTCTGATTTAAACTCTGTATTCAAAAACGTTCTCCAATGTTTTCCTGAAAAGGGATGTTTGAATCACAGCAGAGATGGGACAAAGATAAGCCTCTTTCAAAAGCATATTTCATCATGCTGAGATTAATGAATTTTTTTCAATGATTTTCCTAAATGTACCGTATTTTTTTGCTCCATAAGACGCACTTCCCCCCCAAAAAAGTGGGGGGGAGTCTGTGCGTCTTATAGAGAGAAGGCTGCAATTTCGCCCCCACTGGCCCTGTGGGGGGGGAGCATTGCAAGGGCCCTGGAAGGCTCACTCGGACCCTTGCGACACTCCCCCCACGGGGCCAGCGCGGGCGAAACCGCTAGCTTCCAGGTGGGGGGAGCATCGAAAGGGTCCTGAAAGGCTCACTCGGACCCTTGTGACGCTCCCCCCACACACACCCCACAGGGCCAGCGTGGGCGAAATCACCAGCTTCTAGGACCTTTTCTGAGCCTTTCAAGCCTCAGAAAAGGTCCTAGAAGTTGGCGATTTCACCCCCCGCTGGCCCTGTGGGGGGTGGGGGGAGCCTCGCAAGGGTCCTGGAACAGACCCTAGTACCCTTTGGAGGCTCCCCCTGCCCCCCCCGCGGGGCTGCACGGGCGAGGGTCCTGGAACAGACCCTAGGACCCTTTGGAGGCTCACCCTGTCCCCCCTGCCGGGCCAGAGGGGGCGAAACCGCCACCTTCTGGGACTCTTTTGAGGCTTGGGGAGCTTCAGAAGAGTCCCAGAATGTGGCGATTTCACCCCCTCTGGCCTCGGGGGGGGGGCTGGGGGAGCCTCCAAAGGGTCCTAGGGTGTGTTCCATAAGACGGACCTCTCCATAAGGCTCACCAATTTTTAGAGGAAAACAGATTATTTTTTTCCTGTTTTCTTCTCCTAAAAATTTGGTGTGTCTTATGGAGCGAAAAATACGGTATTTCCTTTTCAGTGAATTATCTTGTAATATATTTTGTTGTTTAAAGATGTGTGTTATTTTTAAACTTAAGGTACCATATATCAATTTGTTTGGATCCCAGAATATTTACATTCTCATGTTGACCTTCCTGCATACCAGGTACCAAGACTGAGAAGGCTGCTCTGTCCGTTCTCCTGGGCAAGATGAATCGTACCCCCTAGACCAGTGGTCTCCAACCTTGGGCCTCCAGAGGTTCTTGAACTTCAACTCCCAGAAATCCTGGCCAGCAGAGGTGGTGGTGAAGGCTTCTGGGAGTGGTAGTCCAAGAACATCTGGAGGCCCAAGTTTGGGGACCACTGCCCTAGACAATACAGGTGATGAGCTTAGGCCAGAGTCGGGATTCAACCTGAAACTTTATGAGTCCTCCTTAAAAAGTGGCATGCAACTCTTGAGCTCAAAATGCTCATCAAAGGAATAGTCACAAAATGTAAACACACATAGGAATCTTTCCCCATCTTGTCTCTTCCCCAGTGAACTTTGCCACAGGACAGGTGATACATGCATCATCATGTTTTTCTGACCTAGAACTCAGAAACACTCATTTTGCAGTTCTCCATGAATCACCTAGCCATTTACATAGATTTCCATGCCTTTTTACCTCTTCTCTCTCATTTATCATATAACCTGACGAAAAGTTCGCAGGCCTTTCCATCACATACCTCCTGACCCCCTCTTTCCTTTCTTATTGTTTTTGTTTTTGCGTATTGTGTAATGTAATGTAGTGCTTTTATCATTTAGAATTGTCTATTTATACTTTTATTGTATCGTTTTATGGTTGTTAGCCGCCTAGAGTGGTCCTCACCGACCAGATAGGGGGGGTATAAATTAAATAAATAAATAAAGTTCTGCAGAGCTCAAAAGCTTGCATATTTTGTGTATTTACAGTTAATCCCACTTATGGATTTTGAAAGTTTTAAACATACAACATGTGTTCTGGGCGCTTCTCCACTGGTACATTATATTCTTCTATCTCTGCCACCACTCATTCAGAAGAGCTTGTAGAAAAAAGGAGATGCCAGTGTCATTCCTGAAGCTTACACTTTCACACTATCACAAGGAGAAAAAGGAGAACCAGCAAACAAAAGGGTGGGTACACATACTAAACAGAGTACCATGCCTAACCTTGAGTTGTTTGTGCACCCAAGTACCTGTGACCTTTCTACAGAGCATATGCCTAGAAAAGAAGAGAGATGACACCCCATGCATCTCATTCTGCCATTAGGTCACCAATATCCCTGTTCTCCTTTTCCTGCAGCTCTTTTTTTCTCCTCATTGTAGTGGAACTAACACAGAGCTATATAAAATATCCCAAAAGGGAAGCTAGAGCATGATGCACGCCACCCATTTCTGCTTAGCAGAAATGTATAATTGTACACAGCCAAAGTACTGAAACTCATCTCCTGGCTAAGAATGAGAGAAACCCAATGTAGAAAACTGGATGATAAGCTAGCACTCATGTTCCCTCATGTCCCCTTCTGGAATCAGACTCCAAAGCAGCTAAAACATTCGTGTAATTCTTATCAAAACTCTGTTTGTGCAGAACTGCAGGACTAAAGTCCAATTTTGTGCACCAAGACAGTATCCTTGACTTTAGACTTCAGCATCCAGATTAGAGCACAACACAGCAAAAATGTGCAGTATATTGTTCCATGCCAGAGATAAATTATGAAAAACAGTTCTATGCACTTGATAATCTACCTCAAATGGATAGTTCAATATTTTTTAACAACTAGTTTCACTGGATGAGAACTTTGCAGATACCCTGGACTGTCAGAAAGACAAACAAGTGGGTCCTAGATCAAATCAAGCCCGAGATATCTCTGGAAACAAAAGACACATCATAAAAAGGCAGGATTATCTGGAAAAGACAATAAGGACAGGAAAGGTGAAAGGAAAAAAGGAAGACCAAATATGAGATGGGCAGACATTTCCCATGTCCTAAAGGCCTTAGGCATAATATGTACACTACCTGTGGCACCCAGTGGATGTCCTTTTGAGATCAAGCCACCACTTGGATTTATGACCCACTTTCCACCATAAGTATTGTCTCCTCTTTCAATGAGCTCACCAGCTTTTCCTGGAAGACAAAGAAAGAAAGATTATTCTCACTGCATACAAGATCCTTCCACTTCTTAAATAATTATGAACTTTCAAGTACTTTCTGAAGACATTATCTGGTTGAAAGGAATGCAAGCATTGTACTGTTCTTGACCTTGTCCGATCAGATTTTAATGTATATTCTAATTTGTACATTTTGCCTTTTTTTTTTAATTAAAAAATCACTGTGAAGCTCAGAATTTTGCACTGAATACAATATGTAGTTGGCATTTTCCCTGGCACAATTCTGTTAAGGCTTATTAACAGAATAGTACCGGGGAGCAAGGGGTTATTTCTTAGCCACAACCTTTTCTTTGTGGAAACAAGCCTCAGCATTTTCCAGCAGACGTGTGCTATTTTCAGGTAAGGGTATTTGAATATTAAATTATGCCCAGTGACTGCTTTGCAAAGGAAATCACAAATTTGGGAGAGGGCATAGTACTCAACCACTTTTTTGCCTATCCAAACTGCAGAAAAGAACCTTGCAGAGGAAAATTGGAAAGCAACAAGCAGGTAGAAGATGCAACTACTCTCAATATATCCAAACCAAGTCTGTTCTCAAAACACAAAAAGCCAGGATTTTCCCAGAACCTTGCCTTGTTATGAACAGAAACTAGCTAGTCCACTTTTCATGGTGGATTTGTCTTGTCACCTCCCAACAGGAAGCTTCCTTTCGCTGGTTTGTTCTCTCCCAACAAATCACACAAGCAATCCAGGGATTATTTTTGACCTCTTTTTCTGGCTTGTGGGAGGAGATAATCTGCCCATCGACAGGCAACTCCCATGTGCACAAACTCCCTGCTTATTTATGACAACCTCACGGAACCCTCCCTTGTTACGCTGTACAGAAAAATCCAATGTGTATGGAACAACATATGTACAACTATGAAGCACTAATTCTCAGTCATGTCAGTAATTCCTTGAAACAGAAAGGACCAAAATGACTATGTAAGGAATACTGGAATCTTGCAGAAAAGATTGTAGCAAAAAAGGTAAAATACCACATATTTATAGCAGCTCACCTGAGAGCCAGTGTGGTGCAGCGGGCAGAGTGTTGGACTAGGATTCAGAAAACATGAGTCCGAATCCCTGCTGGGCTATGGAAACCCCCTGGGGGCGGGGGGATGGCATTGGTAAAGCTACTTCTTAAATATCTCATACACCTTGAAACCCCTGTTAGGATCACTGTAAGTCTTCTGTGACTTGATAGCATACAATAGCTCACTTCTGGTAGTAGAATTTATGTTTATTTATAGATTAATGAAGTATAGAAATTATTTAAATCATTTTGGATATTAGCATCCAAATGAACACTGACACAAGAGTAATTAAAAAGATATTTTAAGCTTTCCAGAGAAAAACAGATGCAACCATGAAAATCAGAATCATGCTTTTTTTTCTCTTTAGCTTCTAAATCAGAACGTTAATTTATTCCTTAGACCCTCCTAGTGGCATATACAGGAATAACACCCGTACCAAGATTTTGTATGAATCATGCAACATTCAGAATGTTCTACACATCAACAAAATGGTTTTGCAATAAATTAGATTAGAAATTGGCCACAAGTGTTGAAGCTTATCATGTTAGTCCTCAATGTCACATCAACATTAATGTGACACTGATGAGTAAGTCTGCAAATGGTAATGTATTCACTCACAATTTGAAACTGGGACTTCTTCATCCAGATCTAATATGCTATCCACAACACTAAACAATCAAATACAAGTGGCATATACAGTTTTCTTACACACATCCCAACACTTTGCCCCAAAGCTTTTCTTTGTCTCAGCTGGATCCTGACCCAATCTCAAACCTCACTATAACTTTAAACTGTTACATCTTTCTTCCCTCATATGGAAAACTTCCACATAAACTGCAGAATCAGTGTGGTGTCATGGTTAAGAGTATTGGTTTAGATTAAAACCACCAAATGAATATAAAGCTCACTGGATAACCTTGGGCCCTTCGCATATTCCTGGCCTGACCTACTTCATAGGGTTGTTGTCAAAATAAAATGGGTAAAATGGGAACGGCAAGGTGAAAATGTAACACATGGATGTAACAGCTTCTAATGCTCATCTATGCACATCTTCATCTTTAAACCAGAAGCCACAGCTTCCTCAGTCTTTATAAGAGACTAGTTCTCAGGATATATGTGCTTTACTGGTTGAGTCTATGCAAGAACATGGCTACTTTTCTATAAAGCCACAGTGCATATAGTCCTTCAAGTGCTTACCTCTCCTTACTTTTGAAAGAGACATAAGAGGGCCCAGCTGGACTGAAGACACATCTAGTCTACCACCTCATTTCCAAGAACAGATAGCTCCAGACAAAATATCCAAACCATATTTTTATCTAGTTTTGCTGCACCACTGAGAACCTGCTGCTTCTCTTAGACAGGAAGCATGCTTAAAAAGGCTTTCTGAGCATCTGCATTATAACATGTGATGTCTAGAGATAGTCCCAATCTACATCTTGCTGACTTTCTCAACAGAATTCCAGAAATTTAATCAAGAAGAATCTATAGAAATCTTGATCACTTGCCCTTAGTAAAGTCTGTTCTTTCATGAATTATTCTGATTTTTCTGCTGCCTTGGGTGAAGGTACACTAAGCAGTATGAAAATGTCACTGTTGCTCTCTACTGATCCCTTCTCTAAACAAATAAAAAGGAAAAAAAGGTAGGGGTAAAAGAAGAAGATAACCTGGGCTCCTAGTCCACAAAATATGCCAAATAAAACTTGCTAGTCTTTTAAGATGCCAGAAGACTCTTCATTCATGTCTGCTTGTTTTAACAGTCTCCTAGTCCACAAAATATGCCAAATAAAATTTGCTAGTACTTTAAGATGCCAGAAGACTCTTCATTGATGTCTGCTTGTTTTAACGATTGCACTCTTTTGTTTTTATTTCCGTCATTTTGAAGAACTCTAATGCTTCCAGAACTAGACCCCAAATCCTTACAGTGACTGAACTGATAAGAGAAGGTTCCTTAATTAAATTTATTCCTTCCTATAGCCTTCTAGAACAGTGGCTAATTGGGGCATGAGTCCTTTGCATTCTCTGTAATTCAAACACTGGTAATACAGTGGTTGTTGTGGGTTTTTCGGGCTCTTTGGCCGTGTTCTAAAGGTTGATCTTCCTGACGTTTCACCAGTCTCTGTGGCTGGCATCTTCAGAGGACTGGAGTAGGAACTCTGTCCATTCACTGGTGATACAGTTTTTTTATCCAAGGGGAAAATGAACTAGCATTCAAGGAAGCATGTGAGTAGGCTTCCCTATACACTTCTGACAACTCATTTTCCTCCAGAGGTTAGTTCAAGGGAGTATGCTGGTGCTAAGGCATACTGTGCTGGGTTGTGTACAAGATTTTTAATGTCAATAACTTCAAATAATACCTTCAGGACAAAGTCCTAGAGCTTCATAAGTAAGTAATTCATTAGCAGAGAAGCAGTCATGTAGCTCAATCACATCCACATCTTCCGGTTTCAGGCCAGCTTTTGAGAAGCACTTTCTTGCAGCTTCCTTAGCCATATCAAAGCCAACCTATTAAAAACACATAACAAAATGTATGTTAAATAAATCATTTTGTCCTCTCCCTTGGACATCAGTCAAACATCATGCTGAATACTACAAGATTTTTTTAAAAATGTACCAAGCAAAGCAAACACCTAATGATCATCAAAGGTTAAGCATATGATTTTGATAAGGTAACCTCCCTGATAGACAGAGAAAATGCTTTCCCTTCCTGTTCCTTATACCTTTTGTGCCTTGTCAGTTGGGCATTGTGAACTCACAGGGTGAGACTGTTTATTTTTCAGTACTACGCAGCACTTGCAAAATTTTAGGGTTTTAGAACTGTTAAATAATGGCCAGAAGCTTATTGGTTAGTTGCATGGTAAGTGCAATGGTGTGAATGGCAGTAGTGAATTACTGCTGGTTAATAAGGTGCTGCTTGTTCTGCTCATTGCTCACCAACTCAGGTGCCTGGGATGTGACAAGGAATACAGGTAGAGATTTATTAACTAGCAGGAATTTGCTTCTCCAATTTATGCCACTACACTTAACACCAGCATTAACTAACTCACAGGGATCTGGCTATTGCAGTTTACAATGCATATGCAGGGATGGGTAGGCAATATGTATACCAGAGAACAATGCTACCATTTTGATGCAGCTGTTTTCTTCAAATGTGCTTGGGAGATCCGTCATCAACTCTTGGACTACAATTTCAACAGCTTTTGGCTCCAAACCATTCTTCTTCACAAACTCTTCACTAGCCAATATGGCAGCTGCTGCACCATCAGATGTTGGGCTAAATTAGATTAGATATTAATGTATTTACTATATTTTTTCTTTTATTAAAAACAAAAAAGGAGGGGGAAGGGATAAAAAACAAAATACTGTGACAAATGAGTCACCTATTAAAGCAAACAGAAATCAGCAAATGAGAGTAATACTCTGCACTGCCAGGTATAGTGTGTATTACAAAACTTCTCTATGTAGTCTCCTCACACTTCACCATGGCACAAGATGGACACAACCCAGATATATTCAGTATTTCTAAATTGTGTCATTTTCCATTGGGAAATTTAAGCACATACTCAAATCTATCTAGTAGAGTAGGACCCCCATATCTGTGGAGCTGATAACCGCAGTTTCAGTTATCCACGGTTGCTGCTGCTATAATGCACCCTGTAGTACACACACTTCCTCCTCTTGCCCTCCCCCTCTCCATGGATAGTTATGAATGGATTTGCCACTATCTGCGGTTTCAGGCATCCACAAGGGACTTAAAACCTATCTAATCTCCCATGGATACAGGGGTTCTACTGTAATATTATTATATGTAACAGCATTATTTGGAACAATGGTTCTTTTCCACAATGAGCACTTGCTAATATTTATTCCACATGAAGGCCAAAATTCTCATTACTTTTGTTTGCTGGTCTAAATATCAGTGGAGAACTACTGCCAGTTAAGACATCGGTGCTTGTATTTCCTGTTGCATACAAATCATGACTTTACATGTGATGAGAAATACAAGGTTTGATTTGTTAACTGGTGACAATTTTCTGCTGAAATATATGTTGTCAGAATTCTGACCCATGAGTACTTAATAACATTTATAATACTACAAGATTTGTTACTTAATAAAACTTGTTACTTAATAAAAACATTAAAAATGTTTTCTGGGTTCATTTGGAAGCTATCTTATGCTGTTCTTTTTTTACTTTTAGGCTGAAATCCTTTTGCATAAATTACACCACATAAGGCTGATGATGCCATCAGCCAAAGCAATTGTTTGAAAACTAAACAGTTTGAATTTTTCCTCTGAAGGTCCTGAGCTTGTACATAATCACTTTAATCAGCGGAAAGCCATCTGGGGCTGTGGAGCCAGAGTCCTTAGGTCTTTATTGAAATTTCCTGTCACCCATTAATGCTGTCCAGCAGTGATTCTTGAAAATTAAGGACTCCCCCTCTGGTCCCATGGCTCCAATGGGTTCCTGACAGTGAAAGAGATTACACAGGAGCATCAGGCCCTTTGGGGGAGAAATTAGAAATGTTTAATTGCTACCCAGTTGTTGTGGCCAATTACATTATCAGCTTTCTGCTACATACTATACAGAAACAAGATTTCAGGGTTAGAAGCAGGAACTTTTTTCCAACAACAAAAACAAAAGTGAACTGAAAAGTAACAGAAAATCAAAGCATAATATAGAGCTGCTAAAATAACTTTATACGATATGAAGTTTCTTGGTTTAAACAATTTGTATGTAGCTCCCAGAAAAGTAACTTTCCATATCTGGAATCTGCTACATTGAAATAAAAACCTTACAGTGATTAGTTTTTTTCTGTGCCATGTCCTAACTGAATATTCAAGCAGGGTCTGTAATCAACTGCAATTTGCCCTAGTATTTAGGTGAAGACTCCCCCATACAGTCTTATCAGAAATACAGTGGTGCCTCACTAGACGATGATAATCCGTTCCACTGAAATCACTGTTTAGCGTAATCATTGTCTAGTGAAAAGCATTTCCCCACTGGAATGCACTGAAACCTGTTTAAAGCTATCCAATGGGGAAGAATCGTCATTGTCTAGGGAAGATCAGCCATAGGAAAGCCGCTTTGCGAACCGCCAATCAGCTGTTTAAATCGCTATCTTGTGAAGCTTAGGTCCCGAAAACACCTGTTTGTGAGCGCAGAGGGAGCTGTCAAAATCGTCGTCTAGTGAAAATCGGTTTGCGAAGCAGGGACCAAACATTGTCCAGCGAAATTCCCCCATAGGAATCGCTATAGCGATCGCAAAAAGCCAATGTCTAGCGAAAAAACTGTCATGCGGGGTAACTGTCTAGCGAGGCACCACTGTATTATAAATGCATACAAAATGGCATGCAATCACATAGCTATTTGTTTTGTTTTCTTTTGAAGCAACTGTAATCTAAAGCTCTCTTGAAAGATCCCACTTTCAATTCCAGGCACAATCAGTATCACAATGAAACTACTGCCCTCTGTACCATTATCTACGCTTCCTTAAGATTCAGTTCATATTTGGAATCATGACCCTAGATACAGGATTTGGTTTTCTTTCTTTCTTTTTTCTTTTTTTTTTACAAAAGTGTTGCTGTTGTTGTGTGCCGCTTCTTTCTTTCTTTCTTTTTTTTTACAAAAGTGTTGTTGCTGTTGTTGTGTGCCATCAAGTCAGAAATGACTTATAGCAACCTTAACAGCTTTCAAGTTAAGTAAGATATTTAAGGAGTGGCTTATTTATCCATTTGATGCCCCCCATGAGTTTCCATGCCTGTGCAGAAATTTGAACCCAGGCCTCCTCAGTCCTAATCTGTCATTCTATCCAATATACCACATTGGGTTTTCAGTAATACGGAAGTATTATGACTATGCTATTCTTACCAACACTGCAGAAGTGTCAAGAAATCATAAACCTTGCGTGACTGTAACACTTCATCAAAACTATACTCCTTTTGAAACTGGGAATTACTGCAGGTGAAAAAACAAAACAAAATAGAGGTAGGTATTAATGAAGTACAATATCCATTATAGTATAACAGTGCAGTTTGTCATCATCTTCATTTTTAATTTAATTTAAAGTAGAAGGATAACTGGTGTTTTAATATTTCAGAAACACAGTTTTTAAAAGCATCGTAAAACACAGAAGTTTTGCTTTTTTTATACTTCAAAACCTAGTCTGTACTTCATTCACGTTAAAATATTGTACAAAATATGTTACTTACGGATTGTGAACTGAATGTTTATGATTTTTCCATGCAATTTTTGCAAAATGTTCTTGCTTTGTTCCTAGAAAAGCAAAACACAACTTTACTGGGGAAGTATATTAGTAGTCTTAAACACGACTAATTAAAATCCTTACATTTCATAATCCTTATAGATCTGGTATGAAAGCTTCCTATGAAATGTGAGCTCCTCATAGACCAGCTTTGCCTCAATACAAGTGAAAAAAATGTATATAGCTTTGTGGTCATGGACATTTGACAACCTACAGGAACTACATTAAGCTGCCTAGAGTAAACATTGCCCAAATGAGCGGGATATAAATGTAACAAACAAACAAAAAAACAAGAACAAAACCATTTTTCATCAATAATGAGGTCATGACAGCTAAACAAATTAACAGAACTTCAGGAAACCACTTATTACAACCTAAAACTAAACTTCAAAAGTTAATATATTGTTTCATATAGAGCTTTCACGATCAACTGGTAAATCAGAAGTGCGACCATTCCATACTGTCTTTGCTGTTATTCAGAAAACACAGACCGAGGTCTAATAGTGTGCTTCCCACAGAATGAGAATCAGAACATTCCCTCTGGTCCCTCTCCCCAAGCCCTCTGTGGTACCAAAAAACTTCTCCAGAGGGACTCCCCATTCTATGGATCATGCTTTTAGGATGTTGTCTTTACAGATGCTACAAACTATACAGATAGAGTGAGACTTGACAGCTCAGGAGGAAGACAACAGGATCTAGCAAAAGAATCAGAATTACTGAATTTTAATCAGAATTATGTTCTATACCACTGGTTCCCAACTCTGGGTCCCCAAGTGTTTTTGGAGTAAAGCTCTGTGAGACACAAGGCGAGAGGGTGGAAGCTCTCGCTGGAGTGTCGTCCTCCCTCAGAAAGGAACAAGAGGCACAGACAGACCCACCTACACCACCCGTCAAGACTATACAATGGGGAGTTGATACCTGTGAGTTAGAGCAGGAACTGTCAAAGATGACGGTGGCCACTCAGACTGGAGGAGAATTGGTGGGAAGAGAAAAAATAGGGAGGTCCCTCGAAGAGGCAGGAATGGGGGAATATAAAAGGTGAGGTGGGATATGACACCAAGAGGTTGGGAAATGATTTGGGTAGAAGACCCATGGACTGGAAAATAGGAAAAGGTACGGGTCCCTAGGGAGGAAATGGACTATCGGAGGAGAAGGGGGTTACCTCCGCGCCCTTCCTATTGGGGAGAGTTGCAAGCCCAGGAGTGGTGTAGGAGACTCTGAGAAGAAAAGGAGGCAGTGGAAAGGGAAGAAAGAGAACGTCAATTATGGTGTCTGGAGGAAGCCCAGAGGAGGGGATTTCTGCCAGACTGTGGGCCCCTTTTCGAGGAGAAGAGAACCCCTGTGAGCCAGAGGGGGGAGATGAAAAGACCACCACATTATTAGACCCGGAGACTGAGCCGGTTGAGTTGGAGAACAGCAACCCCTTTTTGAAGGGACCTTGGAATAACTTGGACCCATTTGATAAAGACGTTTGGATGCCCTCGTGGGACCCGTTGGTCGTGAGAGGCAATGCCGAAGTTGAATTTGATCATACGGACCTGTTGTCCCATGTTCCAATAAAACCTAGTTTTGATTTTCCAAGAAAGCAGTCTCCAATGTCTCTGTTGAAGCCAGAGGAGGTAAAGTTTGAACCATCACAAGCTCCCAGAAGTCTTCATCACTAGGTGTGCTGGGAGTTGTAATCCAAAAACATCTGGGACCCAAGTTTGGGAACCACTGTTTCATGCATGCATTTTTGAACAAACTTTAGTACCGTATTTCTCCATATGTTCTTTGCCAGCATTTCCAAACAACTGTGGAGTAATTGGTGCTGCAGCTATGCCATACTTGTTTACCATCACTTCTAAATGTTTGTCCATTGGACTCACCCTGTCATTGAACTGGAAAAGACAGTGGTACATTTGAGGCACAACATGATGATACAAAAGAGATACAGTAAAATACCAGAAGTATCTTCTCACTGGGTAACACATGGGTATTTTCAATGCATCATTACAGTAGCCTTCATACCAGATGAACTGGAAACAGTTTGCTAAACTACTAAAGTGTGGACAACTGCATGTGGCAAAGTTTAAACTTTCTTGATTTCCTGAAAGTTAGGTTTCGCTCATAACTGCAACCTTTCCTCCTTTCTACCTAGTATTTAATCTTGCTGCCTTCAAGGCAGAAAACTCCAAATAATACAAACCTAAATATACTGCCTCCTTAACAGATTTTCCTGGTAAGAAGGAAGGAAGTTCACAAAGTGGCCAATCAGCAGGACTTGAGCTTACATTCATCCTCTTTCTCACATTCCACAGTGACTAATATAGTCACCCTGAAAATGAACATGATATACAGTGGTGCCTCGCTTAACGGCGATACTCCGTTCCAGGAAAATCGCCGTTAAGCGAAAACATCATAAAACAAAAATAAAAAGCCCATTGAAATGCATTGAAAACCTTTCAATGTATTCCAATGGGCTTAAAACTCACCGTCCAGCGAAGATCCTCCATACGGCAGCCATTTTTGCTGCCTGTATAGCGAGGAATCCATCCCTAAACACAGCGGGGAGCCATTTTATTTACCCAGTGGCCATTTTGAAACCAGCAATCAGCTATTGAAAAAATCATCGTTTTGTGAAGAATCGGTTCCCGAAGCAGGGAACTGATCATCACAAAGCAAAATTCCCCCATTTAGACCATCGTTTTGCGATTGCAATCGCAAAAAGATCATCGTAAAGCGGATTCATCGTAATGTGGGGCAATTGTAAAGCGAGGCACCACTGTATAGCTGTCCTGACTAGCAGCCATCAATGATCTTAGCTTCCATAAATTTATTTGATCCTTTATGAAAAGCTGCCCAAGTTGGAATAAGTAGTTAAACTCTCGGTTTAACTGTGTGCTGTGTGAAGAACTCATTCTATCTGTTCTAATTCTACTTCCACTGTTCAGCCTCAGTGAAGGACTCTGGGTTCTTGTTTTATGACAGAGGGAAAACTCTCTCCATACAATGCATAATCTGTATCACATCTTGCTTGCCTTTTCTTCTAAGCTTAACAGTGCCAAATGCTGTAACTTCTTCTCACAGGGGATGATCCAGTTCCTTGATTATTTTGGCCGCCCTTTTCTGTACTGTTTTCAGCTTACAAAAGTCGTTCTTCAACTGAAGTGCCAAGAAACCTTTCAATAATGCAAGAGTTCATTTGAACCTCAATGGTACGATGGCTTTACAATGAAGATAGCAGAGGAATGTGCAAATGGACACGGCCAGTTATGTTATGGTATTTTGGAGATAGAGAAAGCTTAGTGCCAATAAGCTAACTCAGTTTACAGCAATGCTGTAGAAGTAATACATCTTCCCTGATAGAAGTGGTACCAATACTTTAACAACCACACTTTCCCCCTCCTGTGTTGAAAATAGATGGACTGGAACTAGGGAAGTATGCAATTGACAAGTCACATTCTCTCAGCAATAACAACGACCACATTTCCACCACTACGGAAATGCAATTCACTAAAAGAAATGCAGTGGACCTAAAAGAATATCTTCAAGTACTGTACTGTAGACAAAAAAAACTGGTGTAATACCGAGGCAGTAAATGCTTATACTTCCTCTGCTGCAATTGGATAATGGTTGAATGTCCCTCACGGAAAGGAAAGGAAGCCTGAAAAAGCCTTTCATTTTCTAGTAACTGTCTTAAGACACTCCTTTCAAACTTGACAAAATTTGTACATTACTGTAACTTCCATCATTTTCTGCCAAGTAAAGTTGGAGGAAGAGAACGTTTCCACACATATATGCAAAGCTCAACTGAATTTGTTACATTAAATGAATTTACCGGACTCGATGCAATGGACCCTCTTGCCATCTTCTCAAATCCAAGAGCCAAGGCACAGTCAGCCAAACCTTAAATATAAATCAGTGAACACTTATACTACATACTTTTATTATCATATAAACCACTTGAGTAAATTCAGACAAGATTGAAAAGGTAGAATGCATAAAATCAACTGTTTTAACCATAAATAGGGCCCAATAGCCCTTGAATTGGGACCTCAATGTTATTAAGATAATCCACAGGCGACATTTTAGAATATTTAAGTTGATCTTCACATCTCCCTTGCATTCAGTTTAGCAGATCTTTCTCTCAACATTAAATAATGTGGGAAATTATTGGAAACACCTACTTTCAATAATTTCCCTCTGCGTAAAGCTGATTTCTTAAGTACGGAATGAGTGAATTTAGAGTTGTGAAATTCCCTCAACTTTTTGTTCTCCTGCTTACTTTGCTGTTATGATGTGCCCTCAAGCCACTTATGACATACAGTGATCATATGAATTAGTGACCTCCAGAAGGTTTTGTCACCAACAGCCCTGCTCAGTTCTTGTGAATTTAAATGGCTTTTTTTATTGAGTCAATCCATCTCTTATTTGGTCTTCCTCTTTCCCTGATGCCTTAAACTATTCCTAGTGTGATCATCTTTATGTGCCCAAAACACAAGAACATCCGTTTAGTCTTTTTTTCCCCCCCTTTTAGGGAGAATTTTAGCCTAGAATCTACATATTTGTCTTTCTATCGGCCCATGATAACCACAAAGTAATCCTCCAACACCACTTTTATAACAAATCATTTTTTAACTTGGTGGCTTTGTTCATTGCCCAGCTTTCTACACCTTTAATATACATTTTTCAAAATTTCCTTGCCTTGATTGACCTCTACTCCAACAATCTTCTACTTACTGACCCCACTGTCCCCTATTAATATAGGATCATTGGAAGTGCAGTCAATCTAGGAAGGGAGACTGTGAGAAATATATGTTAATGTTAGTGGCAAGCAGGAGTATACCTTTGAGGGAGAAAATCACAAAATACAATTGAGTCTCTCAGTAAAGAGTCATATACTGGTTAGTGATTTAAATTCTAATTTCAATAATGTTTTAAATCAGTTTGATTGCCTCATCTTGTGCAGTTCTGTAGCTGAGGAAGAGGACAAAACAGAGTCAATCAATAACTTCTACTGCGAGGGTGTGAGACCTATGGCTTCAGAAGAGTCCAGAGGTCTGGGTTAAGAGTTCTTCATCTGGTTGGCTGGAAATTTCACAAGCCTGCTCCAAGAAGTACACCTATAGAAAAGCTCTCTTATTCTGCCTCAAAGACGTCACAGACAGAATTTAAATCAAATCTACCCTGCCCAAAACATACTGCCATGCTGGAAGTTATTTTTTTAAAACTCTGCATAGTTTTAAAAGATTACTTAGCATATTGTGCAGCAGTTTTGTTTTTCAGCTACACACAAGTCAATCAGTCAGTCTCTAAGAGCTTTAAAGGATCCACTTCATTCCCTTAACATTCATAATGTTAGTACCACTATAACAGAACATTTTAATATGGAAAATGGGGGAGGGAAAAAAGAGAAATATTAATGAAAAATCCTGAGTAATTAAGTGCAGCAATTAGTACTGTGTATGTACACACACCTAGAATACTAATGGCTGTACTTGATTACATAAGGTTTCATAGCCAAATAACCCAGTGGTTTGAGTATCTAGCTGCAAAGCCAGAAGCTGGGAATTTGATTCCCCAGTGTGGCTCCAGGAAGAACAGCCAACCTGTGCGGCCTTGGGCAAGCTGCACAGTCCCAGGATGCCCCCAGAAGAAGTCACTTCTGAGTTTTCTCTACCTTTAAAACCCTGCAAAGGGTCACCATAAGATGGAATTGACTTCACAGCATCTACCCTGCCCAAAACATACTGCCATGCTGGAAGTTATTTTTTTAAAACTCTGCATAGTTTTAAAAGATTACTTAGCATATTGTGCAGCAGTTTTGTTTTTCAGCTACACACAAGTCAATCAGTCAGTCTCTAAGAGCTTTAAAGGATCCACTTCATTCCCTTAACATTCATAATGTTAGTACCACTATAACAGAACATTTTAATATGGAAAATGGGGGAGGGAAAAAAAGAGAAATATTAATGAAAAATCCTCAGTAATTAAGTGCAGTAATTAGTACTGTGTATGTGCACACACCTAGAATACTAGTGACTGTACTTGATTACATAAGATTTCACGGCCAAATAACCCAGTGGTTTGAGTATCTAGCTGCAAAGCCAGAAGCTGGGAATTTGATTCCCCAGTGTTGGAAAATGGGGGAGGGAAAAAAAGAGAAATATTAATGAAAAATCCTCAGTAATTAAGTGCAGTAATTAGTACTGTGTATGTGCACACACCTAGAATACTAGTGACTGTACTTGATTACATAAGATTTCACGGCCAAATAACCCAGTGGTTTGAGTATCTAGCTGCAAAGCCAGAAGCTGGGAATTTGATTCCCCAGTGTGGCTCCAGGAAGAACAGCCAACCTGTGCGGCCTTGGGCAAGCTGCACAGTCCCAGGATGCCCCCAGAAGAAGTCACTTCTGAGTTTTCTCTACCTTTAAAACCCTGCAAAGGGTCACCATAAGATGGAATTGACTTCACAGCATAGTAGTAGTAGTAGTAGTAGTAACAATAACAACAAAAACAATAATAATATACACAGCTTCATTTTAAACCAAAGAATTGTTCTGCAGCTGGAAAGCATATTTCCACACAAGTCAATGATGCACCAAGCCAGCAAGATATATCTTTATGAGTCTCTGAAGAATTTGCTAGGTATACCTTTAGCTATACAAAATGAAGTAAAAATACTACCCTCAGAAGATGACAGTGATAAAACCTAGTTGGGTTTAGTTTTTATAGCAAGCTGGGGTGTGGGAATGTTCTTTCTGTATGGCTACACAAGCAGCAAGGAGTGAGCTAGTATGGGCTGCTTGGGAATGGGTCGGTTTGATTAGAACCATCTAATCAAGTCTGACCATTCATGTAGAAATGGCTCCTGTCAATATCTGGAAGTTAATAGGCAAGGTACTTCAGGATACTGGCAAATTAATCACTTTCCCCTGCTTGGCAGAGGGGAGGAAAAGTGAATTTTTGTCTGTATGTAGACTACTGTTGATGCACTACATCAGTTATAAAAAAAATCAAGCTTTTATTTCCCTTCTCTTCAAGGACTGATCAAGAAACTGCCTGCAGCTGAAGTCACTGACATGGATTCAACTGCGGGTGTTTTCTCAACCAGTGAGGCAAAGAAAATATTTAATTTATTTTTTTATAACTGATGTTGCACATTACCTACATACAGTCTACATGTTGTCTACATACCGACAAAAAAAATTATTTTATTTCCCTTGCCCTCGCCCAGCAGGGGGATGTGATTAGTTTGCCAATATCCTGAGGTGGCTTGCTTATTAAGCCACTTCATGATATTGGCAAATTGAAAGGCTTGCTTTGAATCAGTTCTATTGTGATATTGGCAAATTGAAAGACTTGCTTTGAATCAGTTCTATTGATTGCATGTGCTGGGACTGATCCAAACCAGAATGATCCTACCCACACGAGAAAAGCAGAAGTCCCTTGATAGGAAATAAAAAGGTGTGGACAGGAACACTCTGAAGGTAGGCTGATGTGTTGTAGCAAAGATGTTGCCTGGTTGCCATCTTTAACTGTGCACCAGCCCATTCCTGCAGTGCTCCAAATGGAGGGCTAAACAGCCCATGTATCCAGTCTCAATGTCTGCACAGCAGCAATGGGTACAGTCAGAGCCAAAAGTGGGTGGAGTTATGAAGTGACCATCCCCTTTGTTCAGTACACAACAAACAACAAAGGCACTTGCTTTCAATCATTTTTTCTGGCTCAGCTTTGATATAGAAGACAGCAAACAACTATAACAACTACTGTGACTGGTGTGTTGTTAGCAGCTGTGGCTATGGCCTTGTAGGAGTCCAGAAATCTGGGCTGATTGTTCTGAATCTGCTTAACCCTCACCCTTGCTCCACAAAAGTATTCCCAGAGAAAAGGTTTATTCTTTCTTAAAGCAGCCACGGACAGAGTAAACGAAGATAAGCTACACATGTTTGCAAGAGCAATAAACACAACATACCTCCTTGAATTAGTTGTCTGGCCATGAACAAAGCTGTTGAGCCAGTTGAGCAGTTGTTGTTCACATTTATGATAGGAATTCCTGTTAATCCCAAACCATGATAAATAGCTCGCTGACCACTGGTTGAATCACCTTTATGTAAAGAAGGTAAGAAGAAGAATCACACAGCTGACAAAGTTGAATCATATTCTCTTTTAAATAATTTTTTAGGTTATTCAAGGCTTTTTAACATGGTGGGCGATAAAATAAATTCAGTCCCTGGCACCTCCAAACAGTTTAGAAGACTGCTGTCTAAAATTTTGGCTGGCTACTCATATTCTCATTCATAAATATGCATTAATATACAGTATTCCTTTAATGGTGCAACACGCAAGTTCTTCAGAATCTTACCTAAGTACATATTCTTGATCAAGAAACTTATAAATCATGAACATGAGGTTACATTAAAAAACCTGCACTATCAATATGTGAAATGCTTAATTTATAGAGAGTTTAATTAAGTGTATGCATGCAAGAAATGCAATCCTGAGAATAGGCATTGTATTTTTAAAATGAAGCATGAACAGCAATTTACCAAAGTCACTGTGAAATCATTAGCTGCCAGCTGAGCAAGGTCATTGCACATAAACACTTTCTTACTAAAGAATGTCTTTCATGACTGACAGTTCAGCCTGTAAGACCATAAACAAAAGAGAGAACTAAAAGTGTATTGAAAACATTGCAATATGTTGCTATGACAGGCCCATGGGGTTTGCAGCTCCTGTGATTTGCTCTTAACTTTACAAAATCCCTGTGATTTTAATGCATTGAAATCTGTAGGCTCTGAAATTATTAGTCAAAATAATAACGCGCATAGTCATGGTGGCAATTTGACAGATCCTGGTTTACAAGCCATTGTATTTACAGGCAGTGCAAAAGCAATATATAATGTGATTATTCATGCCTCTGTAACTTAGTGGTCCTGGAAAATCAGTTCTTTACAGTTTGAAGGGAAATATAAATATAGGGAGGGAGGAGACATACACACATCAATGCAACTCTATGCTATGCCATGCCACACCATACACATTGGATACGAACAACATTGCTATCAAAGAGCAGTAACGCGTACCAACAACAACGGCACAAGGGAAGGACAACGTGGATTTTCCTCCATAGATTCAAATTACCTTGGCTGGTAATCTAGAATAATTTTCTTGTCATTGTGTCATTAGTAATAAAGGCTAAGAAAGTTGCTTTTAAAACGTATTCTTACTTTTAAGAACTTTGGTATTTTAAAGATGTACACTCTGCTTTTTGATTGTGCCTTTTTAAATTATATGCATGTACTGTACATCGTTAGACTGTAACAGAAACATTCTTTCTTCTTTTTTACTCTTAAAATATATTTCTACTGTATTTTGAATTGAATTCTAATATAAGTAGTTGCCTGCAACTAAAGTTTAATTTTCACATATCTTTAAGCATTTGTGCCTATAGTTTTCTATAGCTGTA